ACTTGCTTCTTTGAGGAAGTTGTCTGGAGAGTGCTAAGGAATACCACCTAACACTGGCTGCCTTTTTCCCTAATTCATCAGTGCTGTTCCGGTTTTCTCTATCCTAGTTAGGGCCACATTTATTTATATTTCTTATTAACTATTTAGCTCTTGAAGGTAGAGACCTGTTTTACAGGCTGCAAACTCCCAGTGACTGGTGCCTACAAAGGTGTCTTAAACTATTAATTGCACAAATGAAAGGTTAGATATACATAGTTTCACTTAGTTAATCCAGCAGTCCCACGAGATAGATACTGCTCCTGCTCATCCTCATTTTGCAGATGATCAAAGTGAAGCTAGCTCAAGCCACACAGGTAGTACAGGAGCATAAGCCAGGCCCGAGCAGGCGCGGTCTGGACGCGAACACTTGAGCCCCACGCGGCCTCCTCCCCACACACTTCCCCTAGCCTTTGTGGACAGGAGGCTCTCATCAGGCGCCTGGGGTCGGGAAAGTCACCGGGCAAGCAAGAGGCCTCCAGTTAAGACTCAAGACACTTCGCTCCACCCGCTAAATTTAGGCAAAACGCGCCCAACCGGAGGATTTAGGGGGCAAGGCGAGCTGCTGGGCCAGAACAAGATCGCAGGACCCCGGGGAGGGACCTCCCCCTCCAGCCAGTCCAGCGAGCCCAGCTCAGCGCTGAGCCCGCCCGCCGCAGGCTGCTCAGGAGAGGGCCTGCGAGACCGACGCAACGCCTAGCGCCGGCCTGGAAAGGACCGAGAGAACAAGGAGAGCACTGACGCACCTCTGACGGGAAAAGTTAAGCCGCTCACCTTTACCCTCCAAGGGGCGGCGGGACCGCTCGGAGGATCAGCTGCCCAGTGAGGTGCAATGATTTGCTCGGCCGCCTTTCTTCCAGGGAATCTGTCAGGAAGCAGCCCGGACCCGGTTGGCCGTGACACCGCCTGTCGCCCCGCCCCTCCCGGTAGTCTCTGAAAGCCACTTCCTGTAGCAGGATCCCCGCTGGTTCCCCGCTGGAGGTGCTGGGCAGGTCTTTAATCTCTCGTCCCGTGGCTCACGGAGTTTTCTTTTCTGTCTTGGGTAAAGGAACAGAGGTCCAGCAGAGGCTGCGTACGTCAGGGCTGCTGTGAGGGTGCAAAATGTGTTGCGAGAAGTGGAGCCATGTGGCCGAAATGTTTCTCTTCATTGAAGACCGGGAGGATTACAAAATTCACTGCCTCTGCACCAGGGCATTTGTGGAGTAAGTAGAAACGCGTTTCTCATCATTTTTATCCGGATCGGTATGAGGGAGTGTAGGTGTGGCAAATATAAATGTTCGCTGACCTAGGGCGAGGTGTTTACAATTTCAGTGGCACATGCCTGTAATCCCAGCTATTCGGGAGGCTGAGGCAGGAGGCTCTCGGCTTTAGTGAGACCCGATCTAAAAGGTTTGAAAAGGTGGGGATGTAGCTCAATGGTAGAGCCTTTCTCTAGCAGTCGCGAGGCCCTGACCTTAGTCCTTATTGCCTCACGCTCATACACCACACCAAAATCCGCACACTACGGAGTGGTTGCCTCTTACTATTATTATTAAGTAAAAGTCTAATTTTGATTTTGTAGGCTGTTATGAAAAGATGTGGTAACCGAAGTGTCATTTTATATAAACAAATAGAAGGGACATTTTAAAATTGGAGGAAAGCCAGGCATGGTGGCGCAAGTCTGTACTCCCAATACTCCGGAGACTGAGGCCGGAAGATCCTAAATTCCACCCCAGCTTGGGCAGTTTAGCCTGTGGCTTAGCGCAGTGGCTCTAGGTGAAATCCCCATTGTGGTAGGGGAATGGGTGGGTGGGGAGGAAAGTGAATGTAAAATGAAAGTAACCGAAGTGAAAGTGAAGGTTTAAAGTTGAGTAATTTATTTTGGTTTACATCTCTTATCAGACCTTAAAATCTACTCACGCTTACTTAGCCAGGCATGGTGTCCGTTGCCTGTGAGCCCCGCGGCGGCGCTTAGAAAGTCACAGTTCAAGCCCAGTCTGGCAACTAAGCAACTTAAAGAGACCTTGTCTCAGAAGCAGAAATAGAAAAGCTAAGCTTCTGCCTGTATATTAATTCATTTGCCTTATACTGTGTGGCTCGCAGAAGAATAGGTCTTAATGTAGAGGTTCTAGTAACATCCCATTTCCCTGTTCCCTATACTGCCTAACATTTTTTTTTAATAAAAAGAGAAAAAATATATTAAAAAATTTAAAAAAAGAGAAAAGAGGTGGCTTAACTGGCAAAGAGGTAGATGGCAAACTCTCACGTACTCCCCAAGTGCCTCACTGGACAGTGAATATGTTTAAGGCCTGGTATGGTGGTGCATGCCTGTAATCCCAGTACTGTAAAATCTCAGTTCCCTTGTGTAAATCATGCTTTCTTTTGGAGGGTGGCATAGTCCATGTATTCAATATCCGGTTCCTAAGCAAACCCATAAACCTTAGCCTTCATTGACAATGTCTGCCTCAATCAGCTTCCTCTCTGAAGGTTGCCAAAACAATTCTTTAACCCCTTTGGTATTTATTAGCTAGTATTCTAAAGAGTGTTTTGTCTTTTCTCTCCACACCTTTGTTTATTCATTTCGTATGTTAACATGGACTTTTCATCCTTAAGTTATTAATGGAGTATATTTCATTCCTGTCATTATTTGGTACTCACGTTGTCTTTGGTTTTGCCAGTGGGGCATCCTTTGAAGTGGCTTCTGGTCCTTTTGCTGTATCTCCAGCATTCTTTGAATGCTTCCTAATCTTTCAACATGAGATGATCCAGGTTAAATTTTACAGTCCATAGAAATACCGTTCACCCAAGGTACATTGGTTCTTTTAATGGAGAATAGTGTTTAAAAACCAAACGCCAAGTACTCATTGTGCCTGTTGTTCCTATGCCCTCTCAGTAGACAGTTAGGCAATGTGTATATGTATTTTATGTATTATTCTGGCTTGTGTCTAGATGTTCCTCTAAAGCCTCAGGCGGTCACAGGTGGGTGAATCTAGAGTGTGTGATGTTAGGATTAAGGGCATGTGATTGGTTTGGCACAACCCTAATCCCCAGTAGTCTGAATAAGATAAAAGTAGAGACACTGTTAAGCTCCCTTGTTGCTTTTTGCTGTCTTCTGTGCCATGAAGTGTTCCCCCTTTTTACCTCTGCTACCTTGTGCGTGCCATGCTGTTTCTCCTCTGCAATGCCTATTTGCCATCCCTGCCTTGGATCCAGCCAATTATGAACTGAAACCTTTACCAACTGTAAGCCAAATAAACCTTTTCTCCTTTAACTTTGGGTGGCCAGCCGGGTATTTTGTCTCAGCAATGAGAGAAAAGTAACTGACATGCATATGTACATCAATATGTATGTGTGTGCATACATACATAATATGCATATATAATACACTTACAACTGCCTTTATAGCTGCTGTTATATAATTAAATGCCACTGATTTGTAATAGTATTTCCAATAGTGGCCATCTAACATCTTGGGGTTCTTTCTAGCCTTCGTTATTTTTAGGTGATTTGTCTTGAGCCTGCCATGTTTTAAGTAACCTTCAGGAAGGAGATTCCCAACTGTCATTATCATCAGTACATTTGCTCATTTGCTCATTATAATCACTCTGGCAGCCATTGACCTTCTCTTCCACCCAGGCGTTTTATACAGCTCCTGCTCTCCACCTTATCCTCGATGCTTCTGCTTATGAGGGGCAAGTGGGCATGCTACCAGAACACATTTGTACTTTATCCCTTCCCCTGTCCTGCTGAGAATTATCACCTGCAGTACTTTGTTTTATAAAATATACCCCCCCAAATAAGTAGGAAGGTAAAATAAATCAAGCACATGAGAATTGTACTTTGTTTAGGTTATTGTAGCTTTTTAAGAAAACTAGTCTTAGCTATAATTGACAATTAAGAAAAGTTTAACAATTTCATTGTTTGCTAGTCCTTAAAACAACCTTTGCTCAGATACTAGTGGATATACTAGATAATGGATAATTTGTCCTGTTTGCATATGGACTAGAATCTACATGTGGATTTTTATGTGTATAAGCTAAATCTTTTTACTAATACTTTAAGCTCAGTTTTTCCCGCAAAATTTAGAGAACACCTCAGTGTTTATGTATCATGAAGATCAAATTCTTTCTCCAGTATCCAGGAGAAATCCTACTGTGTACTTCCATATAATTAGTAACAGTGAATGCTCCCATGTTTCATGGACTATAGTAAGTACTTTTTCTATACTTCCAATTCTTACAATTCCATGGGAAATATATTGTTATCTCTGCAATATAGGTGAGGAAAGTGTATTAGTGGATTGCTTTTCTGTTTCTTAATCTTTTTTATTAATGTATGCTTTTTTCCCTCTTGAATTGGTAGTTCAGTTTATTTCAATATGGACTGTTTAATTTGCTTCACAGGGATCAAAAATTGTGCAATTTGGGACTGAAAGGCTACTATGTCAGAGGCAGTAGCAACAATGCAGGTAATATACTATAAAACTATATAGTCCTCTTTTTTTACTAAAATTAAACCATGATATTATACTTACAATTTGTTATAATATTGTATTAATATGCTAAGATACAGTTTCATAAATGAGAAGTAATTCTGTAATCATAGACAGTCATTTTAGATATAAATATATAAAACAGGCTCTAGAACTGTGATGTGAACCTTTTAGAGCTTTCAGTGTTACATACAGCCAACTACAGTTTGTGGGCCATAGGTTTGCCACCACTGCTCTAGAATCTTTGTCAAAGCAAATGTTTTATTTTCCTGTAGCTGTTCCTGTGTGGACTTAGTATAGTCTCTTGCCCTGTGAAGTGTTCCTTCCTGAATTGTCACCATTAGATAAGACCAGCCTGAAATTTAAAGCTGAAAAATACAGAGCAAATCATTTCTTCATCAGAATTTTATTACATAGGTAAATAATTCATGACACATTTCAAGTGACTATTCATAAGTTGACAAAGAGGCTGCCATCTCATCTTGGCTAACTTTCCCAAATAACAAATAGAACAATTTGTACATTGAGCCTCACTTCAGTCTCAGACTTGCTTAGCCCATTTGTCCTTCTGCATCGACCTTTTTTTTTTATTAAATATTCCTAGACACAGATAAAACTGTATCATGGAATTAGAGACCACAGTCAGACCAAATACAGTCTTTCATAGTGACTTTAAAAATCCTTTAACTTTCACAATGATGGATCAAGTTACTATTTCTTGAGTCACATACCAATTAGATGTTTGGTTTGGGTTGCAGTACTATGCTGTGTAAATAGGGCTTCTATGAACTCTGGAGTCCTACTGGATATATGAAGATATGCACACCTCTAGAGGACCATAAAATTTAACTTATTCATTTTCCCCATTTTGCTTTCTCCTGACCTTTCATAAATTCACTGAATGGAAAAATGAGTGGAATTGCTTTCATTATTTTTTTTTAATTAGATGTCTTTTTACCTTCTAGAACCCTATTTTAATAAAACAGCACATATACAATTTCTCTTATCAATCTCCTTTTTTTTTTCCAATAGGAAAAAAATCCTCTTTTTTAATTGAGTTTATTGTTACTTTTAAAATATATGGCACAGTTACATTCATCACTGGGATCTTGTACCTTTACATGTCAGATCTTGGTTCTCATTTTTTTCCCTACACCCTTGCCCTCCCTTCACCCTTTCCACCCTCCCCTAGTTACAAAGACTTTGTTTCCATTTTTTCCTTTTCTCACATTTTTTCTTGTCCCTTATTTCCTTTCCGCTATCCTTCCCACTTCCCCTACACCTTTAGCCCTTTTCTCCTATTTCACATTATCAGTTATACAATTTGGATCTTATTTACACTTTTAGTTTTTCACACCACAGAAACTATTCGGTATCAATCTCCATTTTGGCCATGCAGGATTCACTATGCTATTGCCTGAGATCAAGCTGGAGTACAGCTCACCACTAATTTGGTATGTGAATATAGAAAATAATTTTTGTCATCTTAAATTTTAAGCAGTTAATAGAGCATTTGAATATCATTTTTCCAAATTACTGATATAATCTGCTAGTGTCTTAGTCATTTTCCTTGTCACTGAACAAAAATACCTTACACCCACAACTTAAAGGAGGAGCGATTTATTTTGCCTCACAGTATCAGAAGTTTCATTCCATGGTTGTCAGACTTAAATGCAGAAATGGCATGGTGGAAAGGCCTGTTGCAGAAGAAAGCTGCTCACATTGCAGTAGTCAGGAGGCAGAGAGGAGCTGAGAGAGAGAGAGATAACCTTCCAGATCATGCCCTCAGTGTCCTGCCTCTTTCAATCCAACCTACCTCCTAACAGCAAGTCAGCTGTAGTCGCCTATAATCCACCTTTCAAGAGCCCTACCTTTAAGCACATGAAGCTCTTGGGGGACACCTAAATATAAATCATAACATTCCACCCTAGCCCCCAAAAGACTCACGTACATCTGTATTCAGAATACATCAAAGTCATAACAGTTCCAACATTGCCGAAAAGTTCAAGTCTCCGGTCTCTGAGACTCAAAGCAAACACTTAATTGAGTCCCTGTAAAAATCAAAAGAAAGTTAAACCATTCCAGTATACAATGGCACAGGGTAACCATTCCCATTCCAAAAGGGAGAAATAGGATAGAAAAGAATAGGACCAAAGCAAGACCAAAACCCTTCATGGCAAACAGTAAATCCTGTAGATCTGTGCCTAGGACCTAGGGCAAGGTGTGGTAAGATTTGAGCTCCAAAGGGCTTGGACAGCCCTACACCTTGGGATTGCCAGTTACTGCCTGCCTGGATTGTATTTTGAGGAGATTCCACTCAAAGAAGCTTTCTATTTTCCTCAGCAGACCTGCATTCCTGGAATCTCCAATTAACTTGTGTTTAACTTTTTAGCTTTACTTTCATACCTTCACATTCTCCTCTCTCTGAAATTTGGGTGGAAGCCTCCATGACCCTGTAAGTCTTGCATCTGCATGCCTATAAAATCAGTACAATTTGGATGACACCTGCTGAGCAGACCTTGGATCTGGCCCCTTTGGATCATGGCTATAGAGGCCTCTAACTACCTGAATAGCTGAACTCAAGGAACCCAGCCTTTTGGCAGCCTTTCTGGAGCAAGTAGCCCAAGAATTCTCTTCTCAAATGAACACTTTACAGTTTTCACCCTTGAGCCTGGAAGGGTGGTGTCTTACTGATGCCTCAGATACTTCAAGGCATCTTTCCTATTGTTCTTCTGTAAAATACTTTCCTCTTTAATGCTAATCCTTTCAGATCCATGTTGTTCTTTGACCTAGCTTTATAAGAGCTTGCTTTCCGATGAAACTGCAACTTTTTCAAGTTATTCAGCTCGGCCTTTTGCTCCTGATACACACTATAATTCTGACTGGTAGCAGCTAGTAAATATCCATGCTACAACCTGAACATTGGGCTGCTTTGGCATTTCCTCCATCAGAGTAATTAGTCTGCTCCTCTTAGTCTCCTGCAGAGTCTCAGAATATGGGAAAAATATAGACAGATTTTTTTGCCAGAAACACATAGTCTACAGTTCAGTTGCTAATGGAATGCTTTTTCCCAACTGAAACCTGAGCCTAGCCTTTATTGTTCACCTTTCTGTCAGAATTCTGGTCTCCTGAGGTCCTACCAATATCACAAATTAACCACCACTCAACATTCTAGGATTTCTCTACCTGATTCTCCAGACTTTTCCAAACTTCTGCAGCCAAGTTCCAAAGGCTTCTAAACCACATGGTCATTTACAGTCACAACAACCCCACTTATGCTACCAAAATCTGCCTTAGTTGTTTTCTTGTCACTGGGACACAATATCGGACACCCACATCTTGAAGGAAGAGAAGTTTATTTGGACTCAGTTTTCAGAGGCGTCAGTCCATAGTTGACCGGCTCCAAGGCAGAAAGGGCATTGTGGAAGGGCCTGGATAGAGGATAGCTGCTCATTGCACCATGGCAATGAGGAAGCAGAGGGAAACAAGATGAGCCAGGGAGAGAGATACACGCTTTTAGGTCACTCCTCCAGTGTGACCTGTGTCTTCCAATCTGTTTTTATCTGCTAATGGCACATTCAGCTATGAACTCACTAGTGGATTAATACATTCATTATTATAGCACCTCCATGTTCCAGTCACCTTCCAAAAGTCTATCTCTGAATACATGAGGCTTAGAAAGGAAGGGACATTCTATATCTAAACCATAACAGACATTTGTAGTCATACTAGGGTAAAGTAAAATTTGTTGTTTTATAATGAATGCTTTTGCTATGAGATCTAGAATCAGAAAACTTGAAAGAATTCTTGTTCTGTGGATTTGAGACTTTGAATAGGACTCTTTAATAAAGTCCACTCTTTCACAGAATCCCAAGACCTAAATCTCAGTTTAATTGAAGCCTGAACACATGCTTCTTACCTTTCTGGTTAACGGCCCTAAAATATCTCCACAAATCATGATCTTCCATTCACTGGTCTTTTTCAGTAATTTTTCAGATCAAGATGTGAAGAGATAGGTATTTTCCCCACAGTTATACTATTCTTCTCTTCCATCCTCAGTACTTTACACAATGTCTGGCACAAAGCTTGATAAGTGCAAATCAAATGGCCAGCTAGTTGGATAGTGGCAGGCAGAGACAGGAGAGAGGTAGAGCACTCTGTCTGTTTTCTTGACTCTTCACTGACTGTTTTTGATACTAGTTCATATTACAATCAATTATTTTTCTTTTCCTAAAAAATTGAAATGTGCATGACTCTGGGAAAGTCATGTAATTTTCATGGATCTCAGATTCTTTTTTTTTAAATGAGGGTAAGAGAACCTGCCTCTAAAAGTTTTCTAGAACTAAGCTAACAAATGTTCTCTATAGATGACCAAGCTACAGAAGAGGAAGATGACTGTTCCCATGGTACTGCAGAGTCTTTTGAAAACAAAGGCACAGACATGGATGAAAGTGAATTAGATTCTGAGGCTGAACTCATGAGAAGCATGGGATTGCCACTTCAGTTTGGTAGGGTATCTGAACATAACAATTTTGAGGCAAGTATTAATGCACTTTTATTATTTCTGTTTATTGATTTTCTTCATAAAATATTATAAGGAATTAATTTCTTAGCCCAAACAAATTCATTCATGACTAGAGCACTGTACCTCTTTGTAAATGTACATATTGGTAAGTTAACCAAAATTGTAGGTTGTGATATGTCCCATATGGACTTTTTGTCCTCTCGGAATTTAATAAAAATCACTTGTTCACACAATAAAAAGCCCAGGTCAGAGTTTAAAAGTATTTTGTGTGACTTAATGTCAAAGTACATTGGATTCTGTTTTCTTTTTAGATTATGAAGTGCATTTTATATTCAAGTTATTATTTATCTAATGTAGGTATCTATGAATAGTAGAAATAAAGTGAAAAAGAAAAAGACAAAACATCACAAGAAGTACTTAGATGAAATTATGCGAGAATCTTGGAGAAAAGAATTTGAAGAAGATGACCTTTTGCTTTCAGATGATCCGTCTTCAGTTGAACAGTATGAGAATACTAGAACATGTGAATTTCAAAGCAAAAAGGACATTAAAGCAGAAAATCTTCCTGTTGAAAATATATTATCTGCAAAACTAGAAATTACAGAGATATGGGAAAAGTATTGGAATAAATATGGAGAGGGACTATTATGGCAAAGCTGGCAGGAGAAACATCCAGATCAAACACTATCTTCTGAACCATGGAACTTTCCTGATACAAAGGAAGAGTGGGAGGAACATTATAGTCAACTTTATTGGTATTATTTGGAACAATTTCAGTATTGGGAAGCTCAGGGCTGGACTTTTGATGCCTCACAGAGCTCTGATACAGATACTTGTACAGCTAAAACAGAAGTTGACAATAAGAAAAATGAAGGTAGCACAGAAATTGACTTAGCATCTTTCTCATCTTTACCTAATCCAGTTGATAAAGAAAGCTCTGGTTCAAGTGATCACAATGAAATACTTGATGGAATTAGTAATATAACTCTGAGTTCAGAGGAAGTAGAACAGAGCCAGTTAAATTCCGTAAGTTGTGGTGGGCAGCTAAGTGAACTTAACGGTGGGAAAGTATGCCCTGCTTCTGGCCAAAATGAACCATGTAATGGAGGAACCAAGGAAAGCAACCTATCTGGAAATAAAACTACAGACCAACCAGTTCAAGGTAAGGTTAGCCAGTTTGCTAAGTAAATAATGGTTAGCAGAATAAATCTGCTTCACTAAATATTTACCACTAACCCTACATGGTGGAGTTAAATACCAGCTATATTTCATATTATAATCATAAAACTAATTATTTTATTAATCTTATTTTTATAAGTGCTTAATTACCTATTTGTATTAATAACAATACTTGCATAAGATCCTCAGAAGTACTCTTTCCTCTTGTGCCTTGGTGGTCAGAAAAGAAAAACTTGCATACCTCTTGAGAATTATAATTTAGAATAATAAGCTTGGAACTTTTAGAGTTTTTCAGAGCAGATGAATTACACAGTGGCTAACAGCATATATTTGGTATCAGGCAAACATGAGTCATGGAATTCATTCAGGACAAGTGAAATCTTGCTGTACAGAAGATATTAATAGGGCATAATATGTATAACTGAATGGATTGATTTCAAGATTCTCATCAATAAAATACCCAAGATAGAGACTTGGTTGACTCCTAAATAAAGTTTTTAAAAAATATTATACAAACTGATGCTCCTGTTAGAACTGAAGTAAGCTGATGAGAAGTATGTTAGTATGTGAAAAATTCAGGTAGGTTGAGAATGCTCTTGCTAAGAAGGTTCTCTTAACTGATGGTACCAGGAAAATGTGAGAAGAGGGCATTTTTATGAATTGAGTCTCCTAAAATATTGACATCCTTGATGTTTGGGGCTAGAAAAATAGTGGAGAGTGACTTTTTTCTCAGCCTTGTTATGAAACAAAAGGTTATTTTCTTCCTTTTTTATCTGATTTTTATATTAGTCTTCTGATTTTCTTCTATACATTTCTGATACGTTTCTGTACTTACTTTGACCATTAAATTTGTAGCGTACATATTGGTCAGTGTGTTTGCCCCTGTCTCACTGCATTTGATTCTATGCCCCCGTTTTCCTAATTTCCTTTTTCCAACCACAGTAAACCTTTTCACAGTCTAATCTGTTGGCAGTGTCTTAGTTAAGTGTATAAGCTGACCTTTTCATTGAGTCGCTCCAGTGTGTCTGCTATCTGGATCAATTTGAGGATTTTAGGTTTTGATTTATTTTAGCTCCTCCACTAAGATCCAAATGTAAATTGTGTTTCACATTTTATGTGCACATGGTGTCTACCATTTGTAGTTGATAGTCTCCTGAGTCTGTCCTCTGTGAGAGTTTCCTGTTGTCCACCCTGCAAGCACCTTTCTCCCTTTCAGTCTCATTTATCCACTCTTCATTCTGAAAAATACAGGACAGAGACAGACATATGTCTCATTTGGAGTTACCACAGTTGAAACTTTTTTTTTAAAGGTAACTCTTATCTTGGTTACTTCCACTATTAAGATTATATTAAAGCACAAATCTTTGTAAAGAAGTTATTTTTAATCAGTGTGATCATGCTATCTCTAATCAGAGTCATTTAGATTAAAATTCTTGAGAATACAATTGCTAACAGCTATTGTAAAAGTAATTTTGTAGCCTGATTTGTGTATATCTGGATAGTTCAGGAGTAGTTTTAGTTTCCTTTTTAAAGTACAATCCTTTGTGGCTTATTGATGGCTTTACAATCTAAGGAATACATCATTAGACTTCATTGCTGTGCAAGCATTGGAGTGTACTTAAACTAAAACAGTTTAGACATTCCTAGGCGATAAAAATCTTCTGAGACCACTGTTGAATATGCAAATATGCAATTCATTGTTGACCAAAACTTCATCATGCGTCATGACTATGTAGAGTGAAGAAACTTTTAGACATTATAAAGACATACCTGCTTTTTTCTTTTTCTTTTCTCAAACTCTGCATGTAGAAACACAAGTAGATGTAGCCTGGCATTTTGCTTGATACGCAGACAGTTCATTGCAGGAAAGGCACTGAAATGATTTTGTTCGTTTAGGTGTTTTTGTTTTTGTTTTTGTTTTTTTGTATCGGGGATCAAATTCAGGACCTTGTACTTGCGGGGCAGGCAGCAGAACTACTGAACTAAATCCCCCGCCCTGAAATATTTTGATTGTGTTTGTAAGTGGCAGAGAAGCTAAGGGAAAGTCCATCGCAACATCTATGCCTTTTTAGAGTCACAGGAGTCTTTGGGAGCAAACACACGTAAAGGTAAACCACACACCAGCCAGACTGATGGAGATGAGAGTGAAGAAGATCCACCTGAGGATAAGCCTGCGAAGCTCAAGAGGAGGTAAGTTGTACGATACTCTGTCTTAGAAATGTATTAGCTTATGCATTTGTGTCCTTAAGTGAGTGCTAATTAAATGCTTGTTTTATGTACAACTCTGCTAATACTATAAGAGTGACAAGATCTACTGGTAAGACCCTGAACTTTTGGACCCATTGTCAAATCCCAACTCCTAAAATGGGATTGATGCCTGTTTTTCTATGAGATCACTGGATAGAATGGAGCTAGTATGCGATATGTCTGACCCTTAGTAGCGATCAGTGGATTATAACACTTAGCTAGTAATTACATATTCCCCACTAGAGTTCTGATTTTTTTCTCAAAAGTTTGGGTATATATTATCACATATTTTTATCACTGAAGCAAAGATAAGTACCTTGTTCGTTTACTATATAACAATGGCTGATAAACACTTCCCCAGGCAGAATTTTTTCTGTTTCCTACCTATACACATGAAAGTTGTAATGTAGAATGTGCTCAAATGAGAGTGCTTTAGAATACAAGGAAAGGAAGAATCATTACAACATTTGAAGCTCGGCCAGAAATCTTTTTTCTCTGATAAGATAAGAGGTTATCTACATAAGTTTTTTTGGTCCATACATCTTCGAGAAAAATAGTAAGCAAGTTCTATAGTTCTAGTATTTTAGTATAGAAAGCATGCCTCTTGTATTCCCTTTACGTGATAGACATTACTTATTAATTCTCTAATTAGTTCCTACAAGTTGCTACAGGCTGAAACCATATTCAGTTCCTACAACCCCGTAGGTACTCCTTAAAATATACAGTGAGCTTAATTTAATTGCAAGGTCAACTTTGTAAAGATTATCACCATTTTTATATACATGGGGCTATTTTTATATACAAGATGCTCAGTTTCTAAAAGATACCCAGTAAGCAGATTCTCCTGGATTATATAATATCCTGTGTATCAATCCCAACCTTATTCTTCATAAAGTCATTGTTTTCTTTTAAAAAATATGTTTTAGTTAGACTGATACTTCTCATGTTTCCTTGTTTGTTTTTAGGAAGAACCTCTAGAGAGATCACTATATTGATTTCAGGCTGCAGCTTTACCTGTTTTTTCCAAAGGAAAATGGGGCAGTCTGTATATGTACCATGTTCAGGGTAGAGATAATCACTTGACGTGGTGTAAAAATAATACTGTATTCCAAACACTGCTAGGTACTTCAAGTCATTTGGAAAATCCTGTTAAAGTACTTTTTCTCCTGGCTCCCTAGATTTGTGAACTGTAGTTGCTTATTGATATTTGCCTGAATTGGTGGGCTTTGTAGGTAATGGCTTATCACTGTGCACTTTTCTAAATTTATTTAGCCATGAACTGGACATCGATGAAAATGTGGATTCAAACCTTGATGACAATGGTTCCCTTCTAGGATTCAAGCATGGCTCAGGACAAAAGTAATTATTCATAAAAGTTGCTCTCTTTTAAAAATTTTAACCGCTTGGGTATTCATTAGGTAATAAATGATATTGTATTTGATAACATTTCAGTGTTAGCAAATAAGACACTGACTTCTCTTGTTAATAAGAATTGTAGGGCCAGGAATTTAGCTCAGTGGTTCTGACGCCTGCCTTGCAAGAGCAAGGTGCCAAGTTCGATCCCCAGTACTTAAAAAAAAAGACTTGTAGTTCAGATATCATTATACATTTGATGTGTTCACTGTATTAATTCAGTTGCACTTTATAACTATCTGCTATTCCATTTTATAGATAAAGCACCTGCAGCTCACAAAGGTTTTGACTTGGTCGAGATCACATCATATACCCAAAAGTGTATTTTAAATCCAGTTTTGTGTCTTTCAAGCTTGATTTTCACCTAGTTATATCAACCTGGGTGTACATCTAAAGACCATAACAAACATGGCTTGAAAAGTTCAAATCTGTAGGAAATCTTTCCTTTATATTATCAAAGTAGTAAAACTCAAAACATAAAAAGTGAAAATCTTTCAAATCATTCCCATAGGTAGGCAATTTTTAGAGTTTGGCATATATCCTTCCAAATTTACTAGTGTATGCATGCATTACTTCCCTTTTCATAAACACAGAAATGGGATCATACTATACATACTTGGCAATTTACTTTTCTCTAAGCATTGTGCCTTTGCGGTACTTCCAGGTTATTGCATACATCTATCATTTTTTCCTTTTTATTCCCTAGGAGTACCCCATTGTGTGGATATACAAAAGTTTGTCCAACCATCTACCTATTGACGGGTATTTGGAATGTTTCTTATATTTTGCTATTAACAAATAAAATTGCTGTGTACATTTTTGTATAGACACCTAAGTTTCTTCCGGAGTTAAGTGCCCATGAATTAAATATAAAGAAATACGCATTAAATATGAAAGAAATGTGAAGGTATAGGTAATTATATAAGAACAACTGGCGATGTCTCCTTTGACAGGAAGATTGAAAGTATACTTTTAGGTTGGTTGATTTGATTGGTTTTTTTAGAGAAGTTCTCCCTATGTAGCCCAGGCTGGCCTGAAACTTTCACTCCTCCTGCCCCAGCCTCCCAAGCATGGGGAATACAGGTGTACACACCTCACCTGACTGAAGGTATACTATTTATGTCATTTTACACCAGTGATCTAAACCATTACTAGTCTTGTATATTTTCATCTTAACCTATTTTATATGCTTACCTATTTTATGTGTTATGAAATTTAAATAGAACCTACACATTATAAAGTCCTAAGGAAGAGGGCATGGGAAATGTCTCACTATTGATGTATAAATTGACCTCAATTTGTTCGAAAGTACTATATGTGCTAATAATTAAAATACTATAAATAGTTTGAGAAGTTGTCTCCTTTAAGTACTTCAAGGCATTTGTATTTCATGTAATTATTTACAGCTAAAAATTATAAAGTTTAGCAATATAAAAAGTTTTTTAATTCTTGGAACAGTTTATTGCTATGCATATGTAATCTTATTTGAGAAATAATTGTGTAGCTTTTGGTAGTATACCTTCATAGATATATTTTTTCAACTGGTTAACTTTGTCCTAATTAGAGCATTCAATTTTACTTAGAAGGATGATTACTTTTTAATATAAGTTTCTAATATAGCTAGAAGGAGTTAAGTAAATCTTAATATAGTCAAAGAATGCTTTCATAGCAGATAGATACATTGTAGGACTGGAAAAAAATTGGATAATGAGATTAGATATGCTTTTATAACTTTATGAGCCAGGGTTTGTGTCTCGTATAAGTTCACATTAATCTAGGTTAAGAATTTAATGACCAGGGGCTGGGGATTTAGCTCAGTGGTTCCACCGGCCTGGCAAGCACGAGGACCCAAGTTTGATCCCTGGTACCAAAAAAAAAAAAAAAAAAAAAAAAAAAAAGAATTTAATAACCAGTCTTTTTAAGCATATCCTGATAAAAGCTTTGGCTCTTAAGAAAAGTTTTCCTAGCAACGGGATTGTTTTTGTTTTTGTTTTAGTTTGTTTGTTTATTACAGTGCTCTATATAATTTTTACTTCTGAGCATTAGATATGCTGTTATTTCTAGCTTTGGTGTTTCATATTTGCTTTAAAATCAACATAAAAAGTCAAACTAGAAACTTCTGCAATTTATATTCGAACATTTTCATAGTTAAAAAAGTTGAAATGGTGGCTACTAATAGCAAAGAACTAGTGAAAATTGTTAGCTTTCCTCTCTTTTCCCATTAGAAAACATTTCTAGAATTTAAAGTATGAATCACTTTTGATCTGGTCACAGATACGGTGGAATTCAACATTTCAGTCATCGCCAGATCAGGTATCTAGAGAAGAATATAAAACGCAAGTCAAAATATCTGGACATGCGTAGACAAATAAAGATGAAAAACAAACATATTGTCTTTACTGAAAAATCAGAAAAAACAGTTTTCAAGAAGAGCAAGGCTCTGAGTAAAGTACGTATCAATTTTGTTTTATACTACTATAAAAAGATTGTATTTTGTGGGCATGACTGTTTAAAATTGTTTTATTCAAATGGGAAGCTTGTTTCTACAACATTTAAGGGTGCCTAAAATCTTTTTCCACTTGCTTCCTGAGGGCATATATTGTGTAAACTAGATTTTGAAAAACAATGAGGCGATATGTAAAGGGAGTGTTTGAAAGCTATAGAGCAGTGATGTCTAGGAAGCTAAGTAAGTCACATTGCCCTTCCTGTGTAACAACAGGCAAGCACAAGGAGAATTTCTCATCTGTTTCAGGCTAAGTAGTATCCTGATAATCCAAATTTTGATGTATCTTTTAGTATAAACCTTAATTGTGAGCTTATCCATTGGTAATAGATCATACTTTGAAATAAGTCTCATCCATGAAATACAGTAGCATGAAATATAAGGCTAGTTTATTGATTCACATTGTAATCTGAAATATTCATATCCCCTATGTTTGCCATACCTCCCATCCAAATAGTTGGGAAACCAGAGTAATTAGAACATTGCTTGAATTGATGAGTTATTCTATCTTGTAGGATAAAAAGTACCTTAAGGAAAAAAAAAGGGAAAAGGATCAAGAGATGGCTGGAGAGGGAAAGGAGTTAAGGGAAGTGGATGAAAAGGGAATTATGTACATGTACCAACTCCCCACAAGGAATATAAACATTATGTATTACACACATGGCCTAATAAATAAATTTAAAGTAAATTTTAAAAACTTTTTATTTTTAAAAAAGCACCTTTAATGAGTAGAACCTTGGTATCAGTCTTACTACCAACACTCTATAAGGCAAGAAAGCTAATCTCAGACTATGAGATGACTTTGTTTTACCCTAGGATACATTATCCTGCTTTACTTCATCATAATTATAAAACTTGCTAAAAGTTATAGCTGGTTTTGTTTTTTAATTATATTTCAGGTTGGCCAGTTGCTGGTTATATTTTAATGAACATTTAACGACCCTAGTTGTATCTGACTTTCTAGTCCATTCCTGTAGAACTTTTCTTAATGTTTTCCATACAGTAGCCCCCATACATTCATTTCTTGGTGAGAGCAGAAGCATAGCTGCTAAGGAAAATAAGAAACTTGGCTGTTGTGTCCCTGGAGCTCTGATAAGATATATGAACCTTACAAGAGTGTGAAACATGAGTCAGTTCCCTCAGTAAATCTGAGTTTCCCTCAGAGCACCGTTCTAGGTCAGTGATGATGAACTGTGGCATGTGTTTTATTTTCTTTTAAGATAAAAAATGTTAGTGTATGAGTTATTTTTTCTAAGCTAAAGCCTCAGTATTCAAGTTTAATTGCAACATTGACACATTGTGGTAAATAACATGGATTTTGGATTGTAGTTTGGACACTCAGCTCTAAAAAGTTCACCATCACTGTTCTACGTTGTTACCTGTCATGTGTCTGCCACTCTTGTTCTAATTTACTTACTCTTTAGAAGGTGATGAAGACCTGGTATAAAGAATGTTCTTGTTATAGAAGACACAAGGAGGTCTTATCATCTGAAATTGGGCCTTGTTGACATTTCAACCAATAAACTTACCTACTTTTTGGGACTCATCTTAGGCTCTGCTATTTTATTAAAAGGCAGTATTCCTTCTTTCCCAGATAGCACTACTCTTACTTGTAAAGACAAACTGACACTAAATCTTTTAGAGTTCATCCTCGATACCATGTAGCATTTAACATAGACTATTGCAGAAAGCTTATGTAAATTGAAAAACTGAAATTAATGACTTAATAATAAGTAGATATTGTTATTCAGTGATAGTAGATATCATTTGTAATGATAATATCACAGAACAGTTATATTGTTGGAGGTTTTATGGAAAGTTACTAGCATAGTTAGGCTTTATCTCTTAATGTTAATTTATAGCAGGAAGTATTTAATCTAACATTTTCTTTTTGGAAAATTCTTTAATAAGGTCATAGGATGCCCAGATAAATTCTAATTAGCCCAGAATTACTTATTAGCTTGTGTGATGCAGTATACTTATCAGAACTAGTAATTATGACAGCTTGTAGGTCTAGTCACAAGTGGTAGAAGATGGGATAGATTCTTTATAGTTTAAAGTGAATTCATGATCATGATGTCGTCTTAAAATTTCAGGTAGAAAAATTTCTAAAATGGATTAATGAACCAGTGGATGAGGAAGCATCACAGGAGTCATTTTCTCATGACAATATACAAGACAGTTGCACCAGCAGTGATTCAGAGAAATTAGACATGTCTGTTAAAAAAGCTGATGACCTAATGGTAACTAGAAGTCTAGAACCTGAAAAGTGTCAGGCCATCTCTTCAGCCAGTGAACCTGAAACAGAAAAGAATGAACAACACAGCCCGATAGCAGCTATTCCAGAGAAGAATTGTGTTGCTCAGGAAACACCAGACTTTCCCCAGGTAGACACTAAAGGTAAGATTAAATTGCTTCAGCTTTAGTGGATTTCATTAAGTATATTTTCTCTTTCATTTGTATTTTCTTAGTTCTCACTTTTGAATCACCTGTACCTTAGGATTCATGGCTGTTTTATTTAAAGTGAGGAGAAGACATGGTAAGTGTGTGTTCGTTAGCTATAACTCGCCACCCCCAGCACTCTACTCTGAACTCAGGAAAGCACAATACAGAAGGGAAACGCGTGAAAAGACTGCGTTTGAGAACTGACCACAGAGCTTGGGTTCTGCTGCTGTTCTCTTCCCATGGGCTGAAGGTAGCCTGTTTTTGAAATTTGGTGTAGCACAGGTTTTGTTTTTTTGGATACTTCATGTTTTTTGTTGTTGATGGTGGTAGTTTGATTCGTTTGTTTTCTTGGTACATTGACTTAAAGTATTCACAGTAGTTGGCACTAATGAATGTAAAACTAACAATTTTGTTTCATGTCCTTTTGTACTATTTGAATTTTTATACAAAACTCCCTTTATAATTCAAAATAATAATTGTATTTATTGTATTCATTGGAACAGAGAATTGCTTTTTTTAAACATTTTCATTTACTATGGTATTCAGGTTATTGATGAGCTGTTTCAGGCTTGTCTTTATGAAACGACTACACCTATTATGATCCTTCATTTCTTAATATGGTAGTGAAGAAAATATCTCAATTTTGAGTCTTGATTTTTTTTTTCCTTTCTGTGGATGTGAATATGTACCTATGATCTTCATACCACATGTCTCTTTGCTTTTCTTAACACCATACTTCAGGTAGGTGTTTTTTTTTGTTCGTTTCTTTTTAATCAGTATTATAACAACTGATGTTCATGTGTATGACAGTTGGCACATTTCTGAAATGTTTTCTGGTACCTTACTCATCTTTAATCTGTGGGATAGCTTAATAGGTAGGTGATTTATTCTCCATTCTATAAATGCAGAAAATAGCTCAGGAAATTAAAAGTGTGGCCAAAAAAAAGTAGCATAACTACAACTCACTACCAAGTTCTCTGATTCCTAAGTCCCGTACTTCCATAAGCAACAGTTACCATAATGCTAGTAATTCTTATTTGGACAGTGTTGATTGTCAAAATAATCTAAGGAATTCTGACAGTTAGTACTTGGGTTAGTTAACATTAGATCCTGTACAAGATAGTCTTGTACAACAAAGAATTGTCTTTGTCACCCAAAATTACCATCTGTTGAAAAACACTACAATTTTCTGTGGGCAGTTTTTACTGTTTGCAGTGATCTAGTAACTGTATTAAGGCATAGTCCTATCCTTGAGGACTGTGTATACTGATACATGTAATAGAGCTTTATTCATCAACTATGATACCTTGTTTTTATGCTTTACTGTGAGAGAACTCTCATTTTTCTATGTTGCTGAATCAGCTTGAAACTGAAGCCAAATTATCAAACTAATAGCCATTTGTCTAAGAAAAGGATTTCATTTAGTCTGTGAATGAGTGAGATCTTTTTTCTGTGGAATGGAGCTAGAGACCTATGTTTCAAGTTTTCAGATACCTTATGTTTTGTAAGACTAACATATTCCCACCAGCTTGAACTGCCAGTGGTATATGTATGACTGTCCCATCTGGCAGCTTGAACCACCGGTGGTCCAAATAGATCGAATAACTTTTATTGGTCTTTTTAGTAAAAATATTCATAAAAAGTCTATAGGTAAACTCAATCTAATTATTCCCTGAATTTGAATAATTCCTTAATATTGATATTTAAAATTACTATAATAACAAATTTATTAAATTAAAAATTTATACTTGTGAAGTCTATCAGTAATTAATTATCCAGATTTTAACATGGAAATCCTACAGGTACCCCACTGTTGGTCTATATAATATGCATTTATAACTGCTATACCACAAGTCAGCTGTATTACAATTATCTTATACCATTTTAATGTTTTCCTTAAGACACTATAATATGGTGACAGCTGACCTACTAAATCAGTGCCTTTCTTTGCATTATTGTAATCAAAGAACTCTTAAGAATTGGTACAAGCTACCCGATGGAACAGTCATGCATATACCAGTGGTGGTTCATGGGGGAAATAGCAAAGTCAAATCAGAGCCACCCAGCAGCAAGACATAAAAATTACAGCCCTTTTGTGTATATGTTAATATGGCCAGGGCTTGAGCTTAATTAGTCCTTGTAAGGTTCTATTTTAAGGAAGTGAGAAACATTTACATTTCAAAATTTACCAATTAAATCATATTGTGGCCAACAGAAGCAAATTCTATACGTGATTTGAGTATCCCTTATCTGGACCAAAAGTATTTCAGATTTTGGAATATTTGCATATATATAACAAAGTATCTTGAGGGTAGAGCTGAAATCCTAACAAAAAATTTATTTGTGTTTCATATGCACTCTGAACACATAACCTGAGGGTAATTTTTATACTATATTTTTAGTGCACCTGAGTTTTGGCTACCAACTAGTCAGATAAAGTCAGGTGTGGATTTTCCATTTGTAGTGTCATGTCAAAGCTCAAGTTTTTCAGATTTGAAGAATTTTGGAATTTAAAATTAGGGATACTCAGCTCTGTCTTTGTCAGTACTGTAAATGAAATTAGTAAAATGCAGTTTACTAATTAATTCATTTTGTAGGAATAAAGAATTGGTGCTTTCAGAGGATGGGTCACTTTTCCAGTTTCAAAGTCAATAAGTAGCAAAATGGAGGCAGAGATATAAAGCCATTGGAGTTTTTATCATTCCCTCCTGTGTCTCTAGATGTATTGTTACATATGTGTTCTGGAATATAGTTTACAATTGTAATTATTTGATATTGCTGCACTTTTAGACAGAGTTCTCCATAATTTTCTTTTTTAATAGTGAGCATCTGTATCCTTTGTTTTTTATTTTAGCTGAAATTAAAAAGAAGAAGAAGAAAAATAAAAACAGAAAGGTAAATAGCATTCCTCCTGAGATAGCTGCTGTTCCTGAGCTGATTAAATACTGGGCCCAGAGATACAGACTCTTCTCCCGTTTCGATGAGGGGATTAAGTTAGATAGAGGTAAGGTGTGTGTGTATTTCTTAATTTTATTTTGAACCCACTTCAAATTTACAGAAAAGTTGCAAGAATTTTCATATCCTATACAAAATTTATCTATTTTCAAAATTTTACATTTACTTTATCATTCTCTGTGCTCACATCATGCCACTACTTCTCACTACTTTAGCATATATTTGCTATGAGCAAGAATACTTTTATGTAACAAAAGTTATTTCAGCAGTCCAAACCCTCATGTCAGCAGTTGTCCTATCATGTCCGTTCATTTGTTCATTCTTTTTTGCTTTATTTATTTTGGATATTTGAGACCAGGTCTCAAATGGTGATCTTCCTGGCTCACCCTCCCAAGTGCTGAGGTTACAGACACCCTGCTCCCTTCATGCCTTTAAAGGATCTTTTTCTTTCAGTATAGGGTCATGTGTTGCATTTAATTTTCATGTTTCTTTAGTTTTCTTTAATCTGGATCAATGGATTGATTGATTTTAGGGGGTTGTTTTTGTTGTTGTTTGCAGTGCTGGAGTCCTAGGACTTCATCTTTGCCAAGTGAAGTGCTCCACCACTGAGCTCTGCCCCCAGTGCTACTATGACATTTTTCAAAGGAATGATAGCTAGTTATTTTGTAGAATATCTCTCAGTTTGGGTATATATGCATTTCTAAAACTTATGACAGATTTAATCTGTATTTGTAGCATTTTAAGATACATTGCAAAAATAATTGATAAATTATTAAAAAACAATCTGGTGAACAAATACCTAATGCAGAAAATTATAATTTAATATGAACTGGAAAGTTTGAGGTTTTTCTTGTGCTTTTCTTCTTTGATCTTGAACATCTTACTTAATCCAGTCTTACTGGTGCTCATTTTCATACTGTGGGTACCAGGGAGATTTGAATCTTGGTGAAATCTCAGGGATTCTCTGCACCTCTTATTATAATTTGCAAACTGTTGTATATTGAGGGAAATATGTAGGAGTTTATTAGAAGAAATAAGACAGGAAAAACTTGGAATTCTATATAGTGAGTTAATACTGTTAATTCTTCCAGTAATAAAGAGACTTTTAAAATTTTAGTAAGGGTAGGAAAAGGAAATTGGCACACATCTTGTTCAGAGAAATGTCTTTCAAGAAAAATGCTAATTTTTTTCTATTGGGCAAGGAAAGCAATATTCTCTTTCCTCCGGAGTTGTCATAGGACATAGTTTCTGATAATGGTGAGGGTTCTGCTACTCTACTTCTGCAGTTCTGCAGCTATTTGCTGTCAGCTCCTTGCTTTTTCTGGCCCCTAAAAACATGCAGATTTTTTCCAATGTGTCCATTACAAATCTAGGTCATTGTTTCTCCATTAGGAGTGAAATAATTGGGGAACTTGAGAGAGCCTAGGGAGCTACCTAATTAGAAAAGCTGACTTTCAGGGCCAGGGATTTAGTTCAGTGGTTTGACTGCCTGCCTTGCAAGCACAAGGTCCTGAATTCGATCCCAGGTACCAAAAAAAGAAAGGAAGGCTGACTTTCCATTTTCCATAATAGATAAGCAGTGGTTAGTCTCAAACAGAAAATCGATAGTTCATGCAGAATCAGGTTAAAAATTGGAGTGCTTACTTATATAGAAGTTAGGAATGAGAATGAGAACTTTTCTTTAAAACTAGGTAATTAGTAACTTTTAGAAAGGGAAAACTAAGCTTTTTGGAAGTATATAATAATGTAGACATGTATGCTTTAACATGTGTGACTTGGTTTCTTGGAATTGAACCTCCTAACAAATGTTCTTCCTTTGCAGAGGGCTGGTTTTCAGTTACACCTGAAAAGATTGCTGAACACATTGCTGGTCGTGTCAGTCAGTGCTTCAAGTGTGACACTGTAGTGGATGCATTCTGTGGAGTTGGAGGAAATACCATTCAGTTTGCCTTAACAGGAAAAAGAGGTAATTAGCTATCAATAGAAGAAAACTTTTATTTCCAGTTTATTCAGTAAATGTTTAATTTTATTTCAGTCTGTCTTGCTGAGGTTATATAATTAATAATTTCACACCAAATGTTTAAAAGAGTAGCTTATATATATTAGTTATAAACTTTGTATCATGTACTGGTATAAGTACTTAATATGTATTAATGTATTTAATATATTTAGTCAACAGTCTTATGAAATTTGTCTTTTACCATCTGCATTTCATAGATAAGTTGAGACATTAAGAGATGGTAGAACTTGTATAAGATTATGTAGATACATCTAACTGTTGGAGCCAAGATCATAAAGCTAAAAATACTAAAATTAATCTTTAGAAGAAAAGAATGCTGAACAGGGAATTGCCACTTGGTTGCTATCATTATGACTTTACCCACCATTTAACCTTTATTTAAAAGAGGTATTGATTTGAAGTAACCCTGTGATACTTTCCTTCATGCAGTATACTAAGAATCTAAAAATCCTTTAATAATAAGTATTATATCATCCTCATGCTTGTTTGACCTTGGAATTAGGAGAAAGAAAACCTCTATTACTTGTATCTACTTGTATTTACTTTGTCCTATAGGTAGTGTGCTTTTTCCCAGGGAAAAAATGGCTTTAAAGAAGTGGAACATTCTATCAAAAGTATATACCTGAGTTTTGAAGCCAGGGTTTTTACACATTTTTTTCTAACTATATTTTGTCATTTTTAAAGATATCCATTGTTGATTCATATTCTGGATACTTTTTTTCAGTATCTTCACAGTATACATATCAATTAGTGATCATACCTATTTAGCAGAATCTCACTAATTTATGTAAAGTATTAATGTTAACTAGGAAAGCATAATATGATTCTGAAAATCATTTTATGGAAGTTAGAAAATGAAGTAAATCTTAGCATTGATTTTAAGACCAATGCTAATAAAGTGTGGCTACTATTTAATTACTCTTGTATTCCAGGTGTGATATTTGTTAACTTTATATAGTCTTCTAACAGCCTGATAAAAGCTGTTTTCTCATTCACCAGAAAAATAATATTCTTGCTCCCCCTGAATTATGTATTCTCAAATTTCTTCTCCAGTTTGGCCAGATAAGCCATTCTTATGCACTGAAATCAAATATACATTGCCGGAAAATGTACATTTTTTCCTCAAGTTGTAAATTTAGCTTTGCTTTAGCTTTGTATCATAACACAGTGGTTAAAATATATGCCCCTTAATATGGTAGCAAATAGATCTGGAAATTTTCTTGAAATATAAAACCAATTGGGAAATAATACGTACATACATACATACAAATTAACGATCATGCATTTGTACTTCACTATGTAGAAATCTGTTGGCAGGGCCTTCAATAGCTTAGTATCCATTTGTAAAGGAAAATATCTAGTGTAGGTCCCAAGCTAAAGGAGACTACTTCTTTTATATCCTCATAGGCCAGCTCCCTTCACAGCCCAAGTAGCATATAGTCTCTCACCTGTACAGGCTGCCAGCCTCTGAGAAGAAAACAAGGTAGATTGTGAACACTGGGCCTTCCCAGTGCTATCACGACCTGACTTCTGTGATATTAGAAGCATGGTAATCTTCCAGCATATGATCCAGTGGTTGCTAGTAGTATTCTATGAACACTAGTTATAGATCTTCTTCCTAAAATCCCTCTGCAGTCATTGAGCTGACCACATTATAGCAAGGAATTCACAACAATTAAAGAGTAATTGATCTTGTATGTATGTGTATACATGCATACTTATCACACTTAGTTGTTTTGAATTCCCTACCATAATATATGCATATGTTCATACATATACACGAGAAAGTGGCTTTTATATATTATTGACATCCCTTTGTGTCAAAATTTGTTTCTGTTCAGCTGCTGTCAATGACTATAGAAATCACAGACTTTGTATTTTGCTGTTAAGGATTTTTTTCATCTTTCAGTGTATTACAGTAGTTCAGCATTAGTACTTCTGAGTAGAGCTTTCCATGATAATGGAAATGTTCTTTGCCTATGTTATCTGTTATGGTAGCCACTAGGCACAAGTGGATCATGAGCATTTGAAATGTAACAGTGTGGATGAGGATCTAAATTCTCTTTAATATTAGTTTATTTTAATGAACTTAAAGGTAATAGTCACATGTGGCTAGTGGCTACCATTTTTGAACAACATAGGTCTATATAGTATCATCAAATATTGGTTAGCATGTCATTTATGTAATAAAGTGCTGTCTTGGTCACTTTTCTTATCACTGAGACATAATACCTGACACCCACAGCTTAAAGAAAGAAAGGTTTATTTTTAGCTCACAGCTTACAGAGGTTTCAGGCCATAGTATTCTGGCACAAGAGCAGGATAGAGGCACATGGCCAAGAAGTTGCTCACAGGGAAGCAGAGCAAAGGGAGGATCTACGGATGGAGAGAGACCCTACCAAGTCACACCCCCTGACCTACTCCAACCAGACTCCGCTTCCTAACAGCCAGTCATAAAAGCCCTTATAATCCAATCACATTCGCAAAGCCCCACCTTTTAGCACATGAGGCTTTGGGGGGCTATCTAGATATACTTAATACACACACACACACACACACACACACACACACACACACACACGTACTTACATGCTGTTACATCTAAAAACAAAATCTGCCTCCAAAAGAATTATAGAAGAAAATAGGAAAACCTGAGCAGGTGTGACATTGAAAGTGACTTTTTCTTTTGAACTTTTAGTATTGTCAGCATATTTCTTCATCTGTATCTGAACTGTACAGGAAAGTAGATTGAGCAGCTGAAAAGAATCCTTTCACATAAATGTGAATACTAGTTTATTTACAGTAGAAAAATAGCATTATAAATGCCTGGTTTTAAAATAGCTGGTGCTTCTGTTCATTACTTAAATGATTCAGTATATTATTTCTGTTAACAGAAATGTTAACACATTTTGAAACTAGCATCTCTGGGAAACAGCTACATTTCCGTGAAAACCATGCTGCATGCATACGTATTACATTTAGCCATTTCATGTGTAGGATACTGTCATCACACACTTGTGCACTTATAGGCACACTGGAATAATTTACTATAGATGTGAGTGAGCTAATTAATGTTTGCATGGCTAATTATGAAATTACAAAAGATTAAATGAAAGCCCATCAGTGAAAACATGATATTTCTTCCCTCTACCTAAAAATGTCTCAGTAAACATAATCAACAGTTGTCTTTACATGTCTTATTCATAATCAATATTGAATTCTAAAAATGTGTTTGTTTTGGTTTTCTGTAGAAGTTACTGAATTTCCCTTCACTTAGGCATGGACATATTTCATGAAAATTTGTCCTTTTTGAAAGCTAGCATGGGGCTTTACATGTAAGCATTTGTTGCTTGGACTGTGCATAGCACAGCAAAAGCTGAGCTCATAGTTGGCTTGCAGCTACTTGAAGGCAGCTGTTGCCACTTATTTAGGTGAAGCTGCTAAGTGAGAAAACTTTGAAACCAGTTGTTTCAGTGAGTTTCTTGGTCACTGAAAATTTAAGTAAAATCTCTGTTATATGTAGCCAAATGTCTCTTAGTCTAAAAAAAAGGTTCTTTTACAGAAAATAAACTCTCCTATGTAACTAATAATAAGTATCAACTAACTTAGTTTTTCTTTTTCCACTTTTAGTGATTGCCATTGATATCGACCCCGTTAAAATTGATCTTGCTCGAAATAATGCAGAAGTTTATGGGATAGCAGATAAGATAGAGTTCATCTGTGGAGACTTCCTGCTGCTGGCTCCAGATTTAAAGGCTGATGTTGTCTTCCTCAGCCCACCTTGGGGAGGACCAGATTATGCCACTGCAGAGACCTTTGACATTCAGACAATGATGTGTCCTGATGGATATCCTTTGAAATTCCTGAGAGTTTACTCAAACAGTGCTTGTGGGGAGGAAGGGGAATGTATGCGTAAGAGTAAGAAGTTGGTGAAAAGGGGTGATATTAGCTAATAGAATTTGATAGATTCCAAGCTGGGTGTGGTGGTGCATGCATGTAATCTCAGCACTCGTGAGGCTGAGGCAGGAGGATCACTGTGAGTTCTCTACCAGCCTGGGCTACATAGTGAGTTTCAGGTCAATCTCAACTACATAGTGAGACCCTGTCTCAAAAAAACAAACAAAAAAGAATTTGATAGATTCCAGCACACAAAACAGATATGTAAAAATTATGTGGTAGCTGACCTCCAAAAATAATGGCAAACGTGAAATAATATGTCCCTTGAATACTGTTTAATTGTACTAATATAAAACAAGAGTAGAATACACTGTTTGCATACTTGAGAATTTCCTCAAAACCCATCTCTGGAATCATTGGGTGACTCTCCCATAACTTTTCTTCAGTTAACACTGACTAAGCTATTTTACTGAGTATCTTGACTTTGTTCTTTACTATAAGGTGGTGCTATTAGGCTTTCCTATTCCCTATTGTATTTTCTCACTTAGCAAATGACAGAAAAAGTTTGTATTTCTGACTTGGCTATCTACCACTGGGAAATTGAATAAAGAGATTTAACTTCTGATCTCTGACCTGTCTGGGTGTCCATATTGCTGAAGTACAAATCTCATGTTTAATTCTCTTTTAAGTTCCATGCAATGATAGTGAACATTTTATAGCTTTCAATGATATAAACAGCCTGTTGCAGCACATGTGTCATAGGTTTGCCATCACTGAATTAGAGAAATTAAATTTGTGCCTTGTACTATATAGCAAAATATATTTAGGTTATGATAAGTAAAGAACATCACTTTTTGATTGGAAATAAACTGCTTTTTTTTTGCTTTCTTTCTTTAACTACTTTCCACCTTTGAAATTTTCAGGCTTTCTCAGAGGATTACTAATAATATTGTTTATTTTCTGCCAAGAAACGCTGATGTTGACCAGGTAAGCTATTACTGAAGACCTTCTATGGGCCTCTGACTTAAGTGTTTCAAAGAATAAGCAGAAAAAGACAGGACGTTTTCTTATCCCAGAGCTGTTCATGAGAAGTCCCTGGTTTAACTGTTGTTAGCAACTGCAAGTGCCTGGCAGTTATATCTGTGTCTGTTGCATCTGCATAGCTCCTGGTGTGCTTAGACACAAGTAGAACATTCTAGACTTTAGGAGGACAGTGGAATGTGTTACATTTCAAATACTACACAGCTCAACTACACAGTATCTGCCTTGACTGAAACATCGCTTGAGAATAGAGTTTTAAGTATTTCTGAATGTAGCCCAGCCAAAGTTAATGTAGCAGACAAGACCTTTAATTCAGCTAGGACTAATTTTTAAATATATTTCCATTAATTTTCTCAACTATGTTCTCATTACTTTTTCTGGGATAGCTTTTATGCATTGGTTTTCAATATCTATTTTCTGGTGTTTTGGACCTTCCTTTTTTCCTTCTAGATTATCTCAGCCTAGTTTTTCAACTCAGGTATAACCATTCTATTATGAAGTATAGCATTCACGTATGTGTTTTTGCCTGTGCTTTTGGTGTCATAACTAAGAGTTGTATAGTTTTAACCCAAAACCATTGATAGCTTGGTATGCTTTGAAAGATTTTTTTCTCTGATTTATTTTCTGGGGTGGGGCCAAGCATAACTACTTTAAAACTTCCCAAATAATTGTAACATGCTCCAACATTGGGATTCTCTAGATTAAAAAGAATAAATGAAATTTATTAACTCATCTCTTACTCTTTGAGTTGAGTGGAAATGAAAATTGATCTTTCTGCCTGTCATCTATGATCTGTATTTTCTGTACCTCCCAAAATACTGTGTTGTACCATTTAAAAATACAAACAAGCACTATCCTATGTACCATGAGTTTTTAATACCAAACTTGATATTAGACCTGTTGTCTACTACTCAGATGACTTAGCTATTTCTAGACTTCCAGATAAGGCTGAGCTTACTGATACCACAATTATAGTTTTCTCATATGTAAACATTACGTTCCATTACTGTCACATAATAGGCTTCACGATATTTGCTGAGCTTTATCATGATACATAGGTTACAGACAGATAGGCTCAATTGGGGAATTAACAATAGGAGAGTCACTGTTTCCCATAAGCTTCAACTAGTTAACACTTTGACAAATATAGCATTTAACTTTTGGGGGGTTTTTTGGTTGTCATTTTGTTTTGTTTGTGGCTTACTTTAAAAACCTCCCAGGATTAGGGTTGGTACTTCCTGTTTCCTGCCTGTAGAGGGAGTAAAGACACTAGAAAATAAACTCGTGTGATTTCAAGTACATTATTGTGGGAAATTCATCTTTTTTTTCTACAACCAAGGAAATGATGCCATATGTGGGATATTTAAAATGAAAGGAGACCATAGTACAAGAGTAAGAGAAATAAGTGTTACAAAGAAATTAACTCATTTGTTAAAGATCACAGAATGTCTACAACCTGAACTTATAAAATACATAGCTGGGTTCCCAAAGCTTTGAGTCTGCTCTTTGAAACTCAGCCTTCATTTGCCCCTTAGAAAGGTCTATAGGAGACAGTTAGCATTCCATCTAGGGAAGTTATACTCTGGATAGTACTTATATTATCTTAAATTGAATATGGACTTGATATAAATATAACTTTTCTTGAAGTCATTTCATATACAAAATATTGCTAATTGTGCTCTGTCCAGTAAAATATTTTTCTAGGTACCCTATTTTCTTGATCTCCAATTCCCGGACACATATCCCTTGCTATTCACTTTCTCTCTGTCAATCCTAAGAACTAAATAATGTGAAAAAATCTTCTGAAAGGCTCTTAAGTTGTAAAATAGATCTCATTTCCTAAAACCACAGTTGAAACCTGGAGACTTAATTCAGATAGTCCAGAATAAATATATTTATATCTACTTGTTGCCTCTCTCTTGCTATGCTTTCCTTCATTGCTTACTTTTGACAGCCATAAGATTCCAATTCTAGTTTTGGATCTACTGTGCTTTGTAAACATGAAAAGTTTCTCTTTTAAGTAGTAAACAATATGGAGATAGACCTCTGGGCAGGCTAGCTTGACTCATCTCAGAATGGAGCCACACAAAGCAGTTACCAAGCACTACCTCCATGAAATCTAACATGAGAAGTTTTGTCTCTTAGCCATACCCTGAAATCATGACAGGTGGAACCCCTGGTCTGTTTGATAACAGTAACTCCTTATCCTTGTGTGATTTCCTAACTGGATATAACCAGCTTCAGAAAATTGATAGTGTTTGTACTTTTCAGTTCAAATTAAATCACTTGGAATTGTATGTTCATTCATTTCAGTACAGAGGAAAAAGGCAACCCTGAGTGATATCCCTAAGAATTGTTTAAAAAAATAAAATGTACACCTTCTGTGTGATAATTCCTGGCCCTTGCCTAATATACTCTATTTTCTGTGGCTTTTTTGAATAGACATCCTGATGATAGTTGGGTCAAACCCACCTATTTTGTTTCCTCTTGATGGGAGAAAATATTATTGTCCTTAAGTACAGAGATCAGTGTTAAATTTAATCAAAAGAACTGTCTTTAATCAAAAGGACTGTCTCTTTCTAGTTGATTTAATTCCCTAGGCTCCCATTGGCTTTTTAAATTCCATTCCATACAGTACTCAGTGGTAGATTGTGTATTCAGCATGTGCAAGGCCCTGGGTTCAATCTCTGGCATTAAAAAGGAAAAGAAAATGAAAGAAAAAGGAAAGAAAAAAAAAATGGAAGGAGGAAGAGAGGAGATGAGGGGGTAAACTAACTCCATTTCATAATGTTCATGAGAGAAAAGTTCCTAATTGTACTAATTATCACATTTCTAAGAGTTGTTTGATTTGCTAGGGATTCAAACCTAGGGATTTGTGCATGCTAGGCAACTGCTGTACCACTGAGCTATAGCTCTAGCTGCCAATAGTTTATTTTTACTGATGGTCAGTTGGTAGAGAAATCAGTAGATAGAAGGTAGTTTTTTTTATTGGTAACATTTCTAAAACTTGCCATACAGAAAAATAGAGTCATATTCATTTGAATAATTAGAACCATTTATAAATAAAAGCACCTGTTAGGTAATACTATTATTTGGAAAATATCTTTAACGGTAATTTTAAATTCAACTCCTTAGCATTTTTAGTGGTTTTTGGCTGAATATAGTAAATATCTTTAACGGTAATTTTAAATTCAACTCTTTAGCATTTTTAGTGGTTTTTGGCTGAATAAAGTAAATAATTGATTTTACTACAAGTATTCTAGGTAATCATAGCATCTGTAGTTACTAAACAGAAAGTTAGTACCTTCATTTTTCTAAATTTTAGAATGAGTAAAATTTAATAGCACAGTGTTCTGAATTTTGTGGAAATCTAGTCTAATGGTAGCATTTTCATAGCTAAAACTATATCCATGTGGTAAGCACTATGAAGCCATTCCAGGAGTTGGAGGGCCCTTCATCCAGGTTCAGGAACCAGAAGGTAAGAGAGTAGAAAGAGGGTAAGGACTGCATTGGAGTTCTGATACATGTAGGAATTATAGACCCTAATGCCAGCTTTTTTTTTTTTTTAATCTCAGAGTACTCAGAAGTGCATTTATAAACTAACAATATGCTTCATT